CAGCAGGATTGACAGAGACGTTAAAGTCACGGGACTAATATCTCCTGTAACAGTAGAAAAGAGCAAGAGTCCAGGAACACCTCAAAGACTGTCTGGGGAGGCACTTTCGTGAGTCACTGCTCACTTCTTCAGATGGGTTTCTGAAGAAGTGAGTAGTGACTCATGAAAGCTCCTCCCCGGCCACCGGTTTTGTTAGTCTTCAAGGTGCTCCTGTGCTCTCGTTCTTTCCTACTGCTACAGACAGATTAACACAGCTGCCTGTCTTGCTCTTCCGGTCTACGGCTCAGCGATGGCGGACGCTCTCCCCTGAAGCTGGGGAGGCAATCCGCGCTCCAGGGGTGTTGGAGGAGTCCCCCTGTCAGGTATGTCTTTGTATCTGATGAAGGGAGCTTTGGCTCTCGAAAGCTTATCCCCTGGAAGTCCTGTTGGCCTTTAAGGCACGATGGGACTTGAGTCTGGCTCTTCTTTTGCAGACCAACGCGGGTACCCGCCTGAAGCTACGTAATACCTGAAACCACATGCATGTGGACTCACCAGGCAGGATCTGTCATGACGTTCCTGCCGTCAAAGGAGTAGATCGGGATCCGGGTGTCAATCTGTCCCCCGTTGCCTGAGAAGATGGACTCCCAGTTGTTGAACAGCACGTCTCCCTGCGGGAAGGGAAGGATCCCGCCTTTTAGAAATAAATTTGACATTCGTTTGATCCTGACAAAATGGAGGGGCTACTGGTGGGGGCAAAGGCTGACCCGGGAAATGGGTTATCCCCTGTTCTGGATGGGGCCACGCCCCCCCTACAGGAGCCGGGTCCATCACCTGGGGTGCATGAAGGGGTGGCAGCAGGGGCCAGGGGTGCCTTTCAGCAACGTTGGCTGGTGAGCCAGCTGCAGCCTTCCCTGGACAGAAGAGGTCTTGCCACTGTGGTGCACACCCTGGTCGCATCCTGATTGGATTACTGCCCTGCGCTCTACCTTCAAGACTGTCTTGAGAGCTAGTTTGGCGTACTGGTTAAGAGTGGCGGACTCGAATCTGGAGAACCGGGTTGGATTCCCCACTTCTTCACATGGAGTCAGCTGGGTGACCTTGGGTCAGTTACCATTTCTTTCAGAGCTGTTCTCTCACAAGAGCAGTTTCTTCAGAACTCTCTCAGCCCCACCTACCTCACAGGGTGTCTGTTGTGGGGAGAGGAAGAGAAGGAGTTCGTAAGCCGCTCTGAGATTCTCAGTAAAGGGAGGGTGTTAATCCAATCCAATCGGGACCTTACTGCTCCAGTCTTGGTTCCACCTATACTGGCTTCCAGTTTGCTTCTGAGCTCAGTTCCAGGTGCTGCTGCTAACCTTGAAAGCCCTGTACGGCCTGGGACCAACACGCCAGAGGGACCGCCTTCTCCCAGACGGGCCTCCAGCCATCTTTAGAGGCCCTGCGTTGGTTGCCTTCCTCATCGGAGGCTATTTGGGTGACACCGAAACTTCGGAACTCCCTCCCTGGTGAGTGTCCACCGTCTCCCTCTGTCAGAGCCTCCTGCCAGCAGGTGAAGACATTTCAGTTGCATCTGACAGACCCCAATGACCGTTATTGGTCCTCCTTCTAGTGGTGTTTACATGTTTTGATGGAATTGTACATTTTAACTGTACCTTAAATGTCTTAATGTTTTTATGTTCACCGCCTGGTGGGCCCCGATCGGGTGGAAAGGTGGCCTAAAAATGGTTTAAATAAATAACCTCTCGCTGTGCTGCCGCACTGCTAAATGTCCTGTCCACAACCGGCCTTGCCTCCTTCAAAATGTGCAACATTTGTATGTTCGCAGCCTCATCCCACATCCCCGGTGCTTTATTCCAAGGTGGGGGCCTCCTGTCACACTCCGGCTCACTGCCACCCGGAGGCCGCGGGTTTGGATTTATCAACGCAGCCAAGCTGTTTTTCTCCCGAGACTTTCAGTCACCTCTTTGCTTGCCTACAGTTTCCCCCTTTGAAGCTTTAAAAAAAAATTTTTTAATGTTTAATTATTTTCTAAAAAAAAAAAGATGGGATACAGAAGGGAGAGTGGGTGGGGGAAAATATAAATTCATCGGGTTTACGAAATAATATGAATTGTTACGTACAACGGGTAAGATCAAATATATTACCAAATACTCCTTTGAACCTTCACTGCCGTTCAGGGTCCTTCGGCCACCCGCGGGAGTGCCAGATGGCAACCCTTCCTGTCACTTTAACAACCACAGTCGTGGACTAAGAGGCACTGAGGACAGGACTCCCCCCCCTGCTCTTCCCCCCCACCGAAACTTCGGAACTCCCTGCCTGGTGAGTGTCCACCGTCTCCCTCTGTCAGAGCATCCTGCCAGCAGGTGAAGACATTTCGGTTGCATCGGGCAGACCCCAGTGACCGTTATTGGTCCTCCTCCTAGTGGAGTTTACGTGTTTTGATTGAATTGTACATTCTAACTGTACCTTAAATGTCTTAATGTTTTTTATGTTCACTCTGCTCGGGAACAAAACGGTGCTCCTTAAGCCGAAGTGTCTGGACATGTTGCTGTCGCCACATAGCGACAGGCCCTCTGTACAGGGTCAGATGTTTCTTCATTATGTAATAGTTAATACCTTCACTGAACTCAATTGGTGAGGTAAAACGGGGGGAAAGGTATAGCTATAAGACAAGGCCCTGACCAGGCCTGTAGCTTTGGTGGGGCATTTCAGGGCTCCGCCCCTCAAACATGAAGCACGCCCCACAACAGCTGCTGCCCCTGTCTCTCTCCCTCCCTCCCCTCCTCTCCCTTCAGCTAAAAGGGCCCTCCAGAAAAAAAAATTTTTTAATGTTTAATTATTTTCTAAAAAAAAAAAGATGGGATACAGAAGGGAGAGTGGGTGGGGGAAAATATAAATTCATCGGGTTTACGAAATAATATGAATTGTTACGTACAACGGGTAAGATCAAATATATTACCAAATACTCCTTTGAACCTTCACTGCCGTTCAGGGTCCTTCGGCCACCCGCGGGAGTGCCAGATGGCAACCCTTCCTGTCACTTTAACAACCGCCACCTCCGGGTGGCGTCACCGCGCCAGGCGCGTCTGGCACTTCGGGGACGGGGTTCCCCCCGGTCGGCCCAATCCGGGCTGGTGGGTAACGGGCCTCTCGAGTGGGGGGTTCCCCGCTGTGGACCAAAGTGGGGAGCTGAAAGATGGCTGTGCTGGCAGCCGTCCGCTCTGGAACAAAACGGTGCTCCTTAAGCTGAAGTGTCCGGACATGTTGCTCTTGCCACACAGTGACAAGCCCCCTGTACATGGTCAGATGTTTCTTCATTATGTAATAGTTAATATCTTCACTGAACAGGCCTGGCGGCAAGTGGGGACTCAATGGGTGAGGTAAAACGAGGGGAAAGGTATAGCTATAAGACAAGGCTGGTACACAGAGGCAGGCCTGGCCAAACCCCATCGGTCTGTTTCTTGCCTTGAAAACCCTACGCTGGGGTTCCCGTACCCCAGCTACGGCCCGATAGCCCAAAGAACAGACGAGGGTCAACAACATCTCCTTATTCCTCCAGGGCGCGCACATCTGATCTGTCCTTCTGAAACGGCATTTCCCCGGCACACGGCACAGACTGGCTTTCAGAACGCAGAGAGAAGCAAAGCCGCTTACCTTCAGATTCACTATGGGCAGGTGATATCTGTCCGCTTTCCTGACCACGGTCAAGAGGTCTTGCAGATGCGAAGACAGCAAGGCTCTGTAGGTCGAGAGTAGACCGGCGGCCCGGGCTTGCTGGAAGCACTGGTAGTCGGCTCGCATATCGCCAGGGAAAGGGGTGTTCAGAGCCGCAAGGTGAAGCTGCCAGAAGAAAGGAGGTAAACATCTGTCCTGCTGCTCATGGAGAGATGGGCTAAGCTGCACTGGCATGTGGGGGAGGGAGGGAGGGAGGGAGGGAGGTCGGGCAGGCCCAGGGCAGCGTGGGAGGGGGAAAGCTACGGCAAGGAGACTGGAAGAGGGAGTGGTCCTAAGGCAGAGGGGCTAGGGGAGGGGAACGGGCAGGTGCGGACGGCCCAAGTGGCTGCAAAGATGCAGAAGACTTCTTCAGTCAGTTCCCATAAGATTCCGAGTTCCCGGGCAACTCTTTGGCTGCAGACCTCTCGCTGATTTCCAGCGTTCTCATGCCTGCTGCCCAGTGTCTCTGTCTGAAAATAGCATCAAGTGCCCTTGAACAGAGCCGAGGCTCAAAGAACTGGTTCTAGCAGCGCCTTCCAAGTGAGACTATTTAGACCAGGGGTGTCAAACATGCGGCCCGGGGGCCAAATTAGGCCCTCAGTGGAACTGGCTGTCTTTTGCCTCTTCTTCCAGCTCTGCTGCTGCTGCATCATTGTAGGTTTGCAGCTTACCGGTACACACCTGAACAGCATACTCAAGATTGCAACATTTTGATGTAATAATTCAGATCAAGAGGTGTCAGTTATCAGACACTGTTATATAAACAAAATATTATTTATTTATTTCCTTCGATTTTGCAAGAGTGTTAAGCATCTTTTTATTTTAAGTTTAAAAAACCCTTTGTGTTTGTGTCCTTTATAAAGTTTATATCTCCGCTACCGGGCATTACATTTTATGACACACATATGGCCCGGTCCTACAAGGTCTCATTTATGTCAGATCCAGCCCTCATAACAAATGAGCTCGACACCCCTGATTCAGACTAATGGGTCAGGGAGAATAATTGTTTGCCACTAGCAGGCACAAAGGCGTAATTTCTTAATGAAGTACGAAATGCCATCATCAGCCTGGCAACGTTCATTCTCGCTGGTCCTAATAATAGTATTGCATATAATGTCAAGGTTAATCAAATGACAATATTTCTCCTTTTTCCATTGCACGCAAAATGCAAACACGTTTTAAAAATCCCTTGGAAACAAGGAAATGTTGCTGTATTCAGTTAGGGATAGAATAGCAGGAAACATTTTTTTAAAAATCCCTCTGAAACAAGGGAATTTTGCTCTCATTCGGTTAGGAATTGTTCCAGTCATAAAAGCGAAGTATAAAGATTTTCTTCGCAGACACAACAACCGTTTTGGTGTATTTTACCCGAGGAAAACAGATTGGTTCTGTCAGCATGAAACGTTTTAACGAGTCTGCTAAGCCTGAAAACTTAATGTACTTCGGTTTGAGTTGAAAACGCAAGAGATTTTATTTTGTTTTTATAACGTACACATCTGTTGTGGAGGGGGGGGGCTAGACACGCATTTTGTGTTTCTTATAGCAGGTGCTCGTGTGAAGATGCCTGTCTGGCTGAGCAGACCGGGGGTCAGTTGAGCAGGGCCCCTCCGAGGCTGGGAAACACCCAGGTCCCCCCCCCCGGGGTCCTTGCTGAGTTGCACTATCTCGTGACACTGGGAAGGGTGCGTTTTCCCAGACCTGTGTAGATGCAGCTTGGAGAGGGTCGCCAGGCTGAGCAACCAGTGCGAGGATCAGGGGTAGGAACACGGGGAGGGGGAGGACATGACATCCTATGTACCACTACCAGGCAAATCCCGGAAGTGATGCAGAGTGGCTCAAGAAACTCTATGGTTTTACTGGCAATTTCTAGAGCAACTCCTAGAGCTATCCTACATCACCTTCCAGTTTCCCCCAGATGGGATATAACAGTGCACAGGATGCTGCGCCCCCTATATCCCCACCATCCATAGAAGCCACAGAGTCCACATTCATTCCTAGAGCTACCCTATGTCACTTCCAGGGAAAACCCAGAAGTGACCTAGTGGCACACGGTGTGCCAGCTTTTTTTCCTCCCACCCTTCTTGGTGTGGCAGTGGGCAAGGGAAGCTGCCAGTGGGAGGCCAGCGAGTAAGCCTTGGTGACCTTTGCTCCAGCTTTCCCAGGGAAGAATAGTAACATGAACACTCAGAGATTTTATGTCACTCAGAACATCACAAGCCTCTTACTTACGCTTGGCCTTCCACTGTCGGGACTTGAAGCTGGAAACGGTGCTGGAAGGGGTTGAAATTCCTATTAGTTCAACACACAACAAATTACAAAGGTTAAGATAAAGCATACAAAACAGAGCAAACAAGGGTGAAGAATAGCTGTAAGATTTTAAGGGCACAAAAAGGGCTCTTCTGGACCCACCACTATGAACTGGATGTCACAAAATGTTCTCAGGATATTTGCATCCCAGCTTTTCAGTAAACCGATAGTGCCTACTTCAGCTCATCGTTCAAACAATAAAGCCAGCTCTTTAAATATACGTGATTTAAGCCAACAGAATCAAAACATCAGTCGCGAAAGACTAGTGCAGCAATAAGACCGCAAAACAGCCAGGTAACAAAATCAGAATATTGTGACTTATGTTTAAAAAACAGACACAAAACAACAGGCCAGTGTATTGATAACATCACACATGCTGGTCAATAGGTGCCTTCCACAACTGTGTTTCCCTCACTGAACTTGAAACATTCCTAGAACCTGTAGACCAAGGGCGTCAAACATGTGGCCCCAGGGTTGGATGAGGCCCCCGGAGGGTTTCCGTCAGGCCCACAGTGGAAATGGCCATCTCCTGCTTCCAGTTCTGCTGCTGCAGCATCATAGCTTGCTTCACCAGACTCTCTTAATCACTCAGCCATTTCATGTTTTAACCCGGGCCCCTGGACTCAAAACTCTAAGCATGAGATTTCTATGGTGAATGTCAATAAATCAAAAGTAGGCTTGCAGCTTACAGAGCTAATGTTTTAAGCATGATTTTAAGTTAAAAAAACCACACCTTTGTGTCTCTGTCCTTTATAAAGTTTATATCTCCGCTACCTGGCATTACATTTTATGACACACATGGCCCAGCCCAACAAGGTCTCATTTATGTCATTCCGGCCCTCATAACAAATGAAATCGACACCCCTGCTGTAGACCCCTTTTTCCTTTTTTTTTTTTGGCCCCCCAAAGGGGATTTTTTAATTGCATTTTATATAAGGACTACAAACTACAATGAAAATAGGAGAGGGGAATTACATTTAAGGAGAAAGAAAAGATAACCACTACTAACTAAAAACCCAAGAGAGGAGATAATCAAATTAGTGTTAATGTTCTTATTGTCATTATACCTGTGTAAAACTGTTTCTGCTTTATAAAACTTGTTGAAATTCAATAAAATGTTGTTTAAAAAATCAAATTAGCTTGTACACAATGCCATCCCTTAAAACGCTAACAATTTTATGAACTTAGTCAGATATGCTAATATAACTTTTAAATCTTAAATTTAGCTGTTGGAAACAGACCCCTAAGCATCTCAATATTAACAACAGTATTTTCAAAGGCACAATTCAGAGTCCTTCAGCCTTCATTTTTTCTTATCCTGTCTTTTCCGCAGTTTATAAGGACTTTTAGGAGCCGCTGCCCCTTTCTCAGACAGAGAGTCCTCTCCAGAAGACCCCAAGTCCAGCTCGCCACTGGACTTACTGTCCTTTTCCTCTTTATCCACCTCCTCTGGCTCACCCTACTGGATTCTCAGAAAGTCCCGTGCTTTGGAAACAGAGTCAATCTTTTCTTTTTTGTCCTGAAGTTTGAAGGTTACGCCCTCTGGATATAACCATTGGTAGCTAATTGCATTTGTTTGAAGAAAAAGAATTAAATCTTGATATTTCTTTCTCCTTTGTCTTATTTCAAATGGGATATCTTTCAGAATCCTGATAGTACTGTCCCCA